TTTTTTTTTTGTAATTGTGTAAAAACCTAGTGCATTTCTATCCCTTAGTAATTCACAAATAATAAAACATCTTTGAGTTTCAGTGACATCTATCTCCATCACACCATCTCTTTGGAACTCTAACAACCTCCTAAAGTAATTTTAAATTATCTTTCTCTTATTACTTTCTCAATATCCTTTGTGGTGGATTATGTAGATCATCTAAACACTTAATAAAGGGAACAATCTTCAAGAAAATTGAAGGTAACTCAATATACAAAAGCTTTTTTACTCTTTAGAGAAGAACAATAGCTGCTTATTTCCCCAAGTAAACAATCATATTCAATTCATTTTTCATACAATGAAATCCATTGGGGTTTTGTAAATTCATAGTAATTTCAGCATTAACATACTTATCCAAAATGTACCATCAAATTTAATATAGTATCTTGAAAAGTAATGGGCTTTAAATATGGTATTATATAACCAGAGATATCACTTTCTTCCAGTTTACCAACAGCAAGTATTAATCAAAGCTTTGTATTGCCATCCATCTTCAGCATTAGTTTAGCAAAATTGGCACTTCATCAGTAACCTTCTCAAGTTGCATGTATAAATATTGGAAGCAGAATTTTTACTGCTTACTGCTGGAATTTCGTTTTCAATTATGCTAAAGTTTAGACTGAAAAGAGGGTACTAACACATACTACAAAGATATACACCCTTTAGCAACTGCAGAGGTGGATACAGGGGTTAATAATGATTCCTGGGATTTGCACTAAGTTGCTTGCTGCTATGGGCAAATGATAACTATGCCAAATGTGGCAAGCTAATACTAGCAAAAGTCCTATATAAGAGTTCTAAAACGTAGGTTCTTTATGACAAGGTAGTGTGTCTCCACACATGTGTAACACAGGGGAAATACTGAATATCATTAATCCCATAAACCTCCCATAGATATTATGGATGGCACCTGAAAAAAATAAGAGTGAACATTTTAAAAAGCAAGTAACAGGGGTCTGGGGTCGTAGGTCAGTGGTAGAGCGCTTGCCTCACATGCAGGGACACTGGGTTCAATCCTCAGCACCACATCAAAATAAACAAATAAAATAAAGATATTGTGTCCATCTACAACTAAAAAAACATATATATCAAGTACAAGTTGAAAGTCCCTGGCATAAATTCATATTGTCAGCTTTATTAAATATTATTACTGCTAATAATAAATTTAATATTGTAATTGGTTAATATTAACAATTAATATTAATGATTTTTTACAGAAGTCAAAGGACTAGAAAAAAGATCTAGATATTCTTTTAAGCATCTTACTGTCACGTTTCATTCTTAAAATTTCATAATGAGATAGGTTTTTCCCATTTTACAGATGAGTAAACAGAGGCACAGAGAGGTTAACTAATTTCACCAAGATCACACAGCTAACTGGAATTCAAATCCAACATGAGCAGCTCCAGAGATTGAACTCAATCTCTCTTCCATAAGAGACTCATCAAGTTTCTGAAATAATATTCAAAGGAAGCTGCTGGAATCAGAGTACTCAGCCAAGACTTTCAGTTGCAGCTTAGAATGATGTATTCCTTCTCAGTTATGTAACAGATAGAATAAGCTTCTTAGGCAAGGATGGCATAAAGATACCCAGGAAAGAAAGAATCTAGATCTGATTTCATTTAAATGACTGTCTGCAAGGTCATAAAGTCTGTTTTCAATAAAATTTCCCCTGCTTACCATATGTTGCACTTAGACTAGATGCTCAGATGAAAGAGGGCTAGAATTGACTTGGTGTCATTGGGTCAATGTGTGATCACTTTGATACCTATCTCTGTACCATTTCAGGCCACAAGCTAGGTTTCCACAACCTCCCTACCAACAAATGGGTACTAAGAACACACACAGAGAAGAAACTGTCATTTCACCATTGTGATTCCCTCTTTTAGTATGCAAGTGTTCACATTCCTCTACTGGGAGTTGTGCAATGGAGTTGCAAATGTATTGTAAAAAGGCACTCAACTTGGAGTCTGGAACTCTGAGTTTGGGCTCATTATATCACTCACTGGATAAATCACTCAACCTTCCTTCCTTTAGCACAAATTCCTTGTGCAGGAAGATGACTCTAATAACAAAATACATATGAAAGCACCATGTAAACTGTACTATAATTTACACAATTATGATTATTAATGATTTTTACAACTACAAATGTACTAAAAGTAGGCTATCTATTGTCTTGAGAAAATATTATTTAGGAAGTCAGTTTTTTATGTCGGATGTTATGGCCATACTGGAATAACTAAAGCACCAGATGAAATTACTGACTTTTGTTGTTGGTTTGCTTACTATATCTTTCAGAGGTGGGGCTTTGGGAAAGTGAATGGATCATGAGGACTCTGCCTTCATCAGTGGTTTACTCTATCCATAGCTGAGTACACAATTGGGAGGTAGTAGAAACTGTAGGAGGTGGGACCTATTTGAAGGGACTTGATCTATAGTGGCTTGTCCTTGAGGAACACTTCTTGTCCCCAACCACTTCGTCTTGTTCTGTTTCCCACATACCATGAGGTAAGCAGCTTTCCTCCACCATAACCTTCTGCCTTGATGTTCTACCTTACCACAGGCCCAGAAACAGTGGAGTCAGCTCAACATGGACTGAAAAGACTGAAATAGTGAGCCAGTGGAAGGATGGGAAAGAGGGGAGGCATAATGTGCAATGAATTCTTTCAAAATCATGTTATGCACATATATAAATATACCACAAGGAATTTCACCTTTATGTGTAAGTAAAAAGAACCAATCAAATACAAATAAATAGATGATCAAAAGGAAGTCTAGTAGAGTAGAGGAAGGAGAACGGGCAAAGGGGAGGGAAAAAGGAGGGATCATGAACTGAAATTGAATTCCATGCATGTATGAGTTTGTCAGAATGAACCCACTATTACGTATAACTATAAAGCTCTAATTTTTAAAAAGTCAGGCAACTAATGCTAAGGAATAACACTGGATTAAGGGGAAATTTATATGATATACTGTTGGTGAAAATATTAAAATCAATACATACAGGATGATTCCATCTTTAAGAATGAAACAAAACTAAGCATGTATATTCATAGAAGGAAAAAATGCCCTGCTGTGAAGGAGAAATAACAAATGAACATGATATTCTGATTGCAAGGGAATTGTGGTTACATTTGATTTTCCCCCATACTAGGGATTGAATTCAGGGGTGCTTAACCACAGAGCCATATCCCTAGCCCCTTTTTTTTGTATTTTATTTAGAGACAGGGTCTCACTGAGTTGCTGAGGGCCTTGCTAAGTTGCTGAGGCTGATTTTGAATTGGTAGTCCTCCTGCCTCAGCCTCCCAAGCTGCTGGGATTACCAGCTGCACCACCACAGCCTGCCTTTATTTTCTTATTTTTGCTTGTCTGTATTTTCTACAATACCCATGTATAAATTTTGTAATAAGAAATAAATGATGATTTTTAGTTTTTTAAAAAAGAAATCTATACTTTAAGTTTTTTTCTCAATTATTTTGTCACAGTGATGAAAAGCTAACACTATTTTAAATATATTTATAATAGCTGTTTTGAAACCTTGTCTACTAATTGCAACATCTGGAGACACTAAAAGCCAGTTTATTTTTTTAAATGAGCATGGCACTCTCCTGTTCCTTTACATATCTTAATTTTCTGTTGAAGACTGTGTATCTTAGATAATATATAGAAAATCTTGACTTTTTTCATCTGAAGATTATTGTTAATTTTTGTTTGTTTATTTAATAATTTTGTTAAGTGAAATCTTCAGAATATATCACTCTATAGTGTAACTGCTGATGTCTTTGGTCACTTTTATATTTGTTATATTTGTTTTTTAAAACTATTTTCTCAGGGTCACCCCTGTGACCTTGTAGCTTTGTGACTTGTCATTTACTACTCAGAGGCTGTACTTAATCACTTTGAACCTATAAGAGTTGTATCCTCTACCAGTGGATCTGTGTGTAGGAAATACATATAGGATGATTCCATCTTTATGAACAAAACAAAAGTGAGCTCATTCAGGATTCATGTCATTTTCAAATTTGCCACACCTTCCACTTTGCACT